TTTTCGTATCATTTCATAATAAACTTTTTTAGTAAAAATATAATACTCATAAATACTCTCTAAATAAAAAAGATTTAATTCTACTATATATTCTATTATACTAAACTCATTACCAGAAATTACTAAAATTGCTAGTATACTTGAAAGTGTTGTATTCATTTCTATAACTGATGCATTAGTATACTAATGTCGTAGTATAAGTTTATTATGAAACTTAGCAATTGAAGATACAAGAATTGTTGCAAAAAAATGGCAGCATATAAAACCATGATTAATTAATGTCAAGTATATACATAAATATATAGTATCATCATATAGCACAATAAAATGCTTACTTTTTTATTAATAGAAGAAATATGCCAAATTTCATTAATTTTTGTTGAATTTAAACTTATAATTAATTCTGCAAATTCTATAACACAAGCATTAAATATTTCTTCAGAAAATATACCTTTTGGTAATTCTATAAAAAAAAGATTAATTATCTCTAATAGTAATTATATGATAATAAATTTGATGCATACCTGTTATTCAAGTTCATAGTTTAAATTAGTTCTATGATATCGGTAGTGTATACTGCAATTCATTTCATATTATTAGAATTTAAGAATTGCTAGTGTTAAAAAATGTTGACATAATTTGTCAATATCTTTAAAATAATGATTATAATAATCTTCTTCTTTACTTATAGGAAGCTTACTAATAGTTTCATTTAATTTTAGATATTTGCTTTCCTTTGCTAATAATCTTTTAATTATATATTTAAGTTCTATAAGAAATAATGATCCATTAATATTATTTTTAATAATACTATTGTATAACTTTACACATTATGTACTTTGAATTTTAGTATTAAATGCACAATGTGTAAAGCATAATACTCAAGCCTCTCTACATGAATAAAACTGATGTTGCAGATAATTTATGACATCAGTAATCTCTCTTCAAAAATTGATTTGACCTGATTATTACATATATAACAAAAAGAAGAAAAGAACTTTTTTCATTTTTCATCACAATATTTACTAAGAAAATGCTTTTCCAAGTTTTTTCTAATATAGAACAAACAAAAATGTTGCTTTGTTATACGCTAAGCATTATTTACTGCTACAATCATTGTGAAAGTGGTATTTGTATAAAGTAAAGTTAATGTTAATCTTCCTGTTGCTTTGAAAAGACTTGTAAATAACTATATAAAAATATCTTTTATTTTATCTAACACTATTGCAGTTGCTGTAAGATGAGAACAATTATGATTATCAATCAATATTATAACATATAAAATTATTGAATATTGGTTTATTTTTGCTATTATATCAAGTAAAATTACATCATAAAAATGAGCTTACAATTTCTGTTGACTTGGATGCATCTAACAGAATCTAATAAGATGATTATCTTGACCTTCAAATCATACATCAACATGAAATATTGGATTTTTCAGCTGCTAATTCATAAGTATAAGATAAATTGAATTAGCATTACTTGTAGCTTGATTTTGATATCAAATTGTTTGAATTAAATTGTAAATATTACAGAAATGAATATATTTTTCTGGATATTTATATTATAAGACTTCAATAATTGCATCAACTCGTACTTCACAAGTAGTAAGAATTGTTACATCCTCATGCATTTTTGAGATAAGCTTACAATACTGTAATGTAGAAATTCTAATATTCTTCACCAATTTATGATTATGCTTACCATTAAATTTTGTAATATAAATAAGATTATTTTTTTTCACTGGTAAGCATTAATATAAAATTTACAGTCATTGGTATGATATCCTTTATTAAAATTTTTATCTATATTTGCTCTTTTTTATTGATTATATATTTGACCTTTTGAGCATATATAAATATGATATTGAAGAAAACCATCATCCTTGTCTTTTTTGTTATGAGTAATTGTAAGTACAAAACCTCGTTTTAATTCATGATTTTTCAACCATCTTAAAATTAAAAAATTTTTTATTATTAATATGCAAATAATAAATAATAGGGATCAAACAATGGAAATAATTTATTATGATGAAACTTTTAGTAAAAGATTACATCAATATTTTACTAAAATTAGTTTATTATATGAAAATCTATCTAATCTGTTAAGATTAACAAATCTAATCTAATCTAATATTATTAAAATTACAAATATACTATATAACAAAATAACTTTTTTACTTACTTGTTAAGTTTCTTTCAGTTTATGAAAGTTATTTTCAGTGTAATAGAATATAGTGGCTCAAAATTTTCAATTTCTTCATTATTATCTTTATTAACTTATTAAAAGATTTTTCTTCACTTAAAATGATTGTTTGTATATTAATAACTAAAAGGTCAAAACTGTCTCCCAAATTTTTAGCTGGGTCAAGATTATTAACATTATCACAATTATCCTTAACTTGAAGAAATAGTGTTTCATAAAAAGACATAATTATTGATGTTTTAGAAAAAAATAATACTAACATGTTAAAAGGATAAAAGTATTACTGATGCGATAAAAGGATAAAGTATTACCAATATGATCAACTATGATATAAATACTATAATTTAATAAAAATAAATATAAATCATGTAATCATGTGATATAATATTAAACACTACAGTGTAATTTATAATTGTCATTTATAAATATTAAATTATAATTATATTATTTGTAATTAATAAGTTATAAATTTTTTTAAAATTAAAAAATAAAATAATATATTACTTTTAAAAATATTATATATATATTTTTTTATCTTATTTATTATTATTTCAATTTTTATTAAAAAAAAAATTATTTTATTTTTTAATATTTTATTATATAATTAACTACTTATATAATTATATTTTTAGAATTAAAAAAATTGGTATGATTATATAAAAATTATATATTATGACTATAAAAAAGTATTTTTTAATAAGTTTATTATTTACTTTAGTTTAACAAAAATGTATTTATAAGAAAAGAGTAACTATATAAAAGAGTAATTATATAAAGGATTACTGTATACCATTATATATAATATTCTCAAAAATAATACCCTTTGTGATTAATATCTAGATACTATTCAATATACTTCCTTATTAAAGTCTTAAATTATTACAAAAAATTAGCATTTTTAAAAAAAAAAATAATAAATTTTAAATTAAATTTATTCAAAAACTTTTATTTATATTATTAAAAAAAATTTATATGCTAAAATCCTTAGGTTATGGATTTTTTTAAATCTGATATTAATACATTATGAAGTTTTCTTTACTTTTAATTACAGTTTCAATTTTACTTAGTATACTATTTACTAATTTTTCTAAATAAAATTCTTTAATTTTAGATTACTTTTTTATCAAAACTGCAAAAATTCTTCTTTATTTTTAGATTTAGTTTATACTTATACATTTTTCTTCCTAAATGATTCTATAAATACTCAATTAGATTAAGATTTGAACTTTAAGTAAACCATAAAATAAAAGATATTAATTTTTTTTCTTTCCATTTAAGTGCTAATTTAAACATTATTATTTGAAAAATATAGAAAATATTTTTCTTCAGATCTTCTATAAAAGTATTTCTAATAAGTTTTTATATACTGTCTTTATGATTTTTTCATCTAATACTACTAAAGGGCTAAGTCTATTTTTAAAATAACCCTAAAATATTATTCTATTATTATCTACTTTACTGTAAAAATTAAGTAGTTTATATCATACTTTTCATAACGTTTTCTTTAAACCTATTATTGTTTATTATTTTCAAATAAAAATAATTAGAATTTATTATTATAAATTATATTATTCTATTTTTTATTCAAAATTAATATCATTTTAAGCACTTTTTTCTATTGTTATCTGAAATAAATAGTTTTCTTTTCCAATTCAGTTAAAATAGTCATATTTGTATAATACATGTTTAGAAGTACTAATATTAATTTAGATAAATCTAAGTTAATTAAAACTTTCAGTAATTTTTTCAAAAAAAACATTTTGATTTTTTCTAGCTTAGCATATAAAAATTCATTTATCATGTTCATTCAAAAAAGGTGATTTTTCTGAATGAGAAAAAACATTTGTAAAACTTTTTTTATAAAATTCTTTAATAATATTTTAGTAAGTATTTTTGGGTATTTTTAAATTCTAGAAATAACAGTAGCTTTAGGATTACCTTTGTGAAATCTAACAATCATTTTATATTAAAAATAATTAATTACTTATGATTTATTATTTTTAAAAAAATTTAAATAATAAAATCATGATTATTTTATTTTTTATAATATAAGTTTCTAGCTAAACTTAAAAAAAAATATTATCAAATCTGATTAGATCTATAATAATAATTATAATTTAAAAAGATAACACATAATAAAATTTAATTTATCAATTTTAATCATTTCAAATTTTAATATTGATGTTTCTTATCATCTATTGAACTTAAAAAAATGAAACATAATTCATTATATTTGTCATAATGAGATGCATCTAATAGTAGTATTTTTTATATCTTTATCACTAATAGATAAAAAGTTATTTTATATTTTTTATTTAAAGACTTTTACAAATAACTTTTTATCTATTAATTTTAGGAATATGAAACGAATACCATTAGATGCATTTGGTTATAGCAAATCTAACAAGCTACAGTAATTCATTTATAATTACTAGATGTTAAGTTTTTAAAAAAAAATCTGGTCAAAATCTTTTATTAAAGAATATACATATTGACCTAGTTACAATAGTATCTGAATACTTTTTAAAGCTAAATTTGTGAAAATTGATTAATATCTAGGCATAATATCATTTTGTATAGTATTTTCAATATTAACTTTTTTTATTACTTGAACATTTTTTATAATTTTATATAAAGGAAGAAAAAGTATTAAATTTTTCTTAATATTTATAAAGCTAAATTAAAGAAGGTTATATTTTAATAAGAAGTGATTAGAAAAAAAAAGTAAATTTAATTTTTTTTTTGATATTTATTTATTAAAGCTATATAATTGTAACCTTCATATATAGTCTTTAAATAGTACCAAGTTTCTCATTTAGTACCTATGGATACTATTTAATTTGAAAAATTACATTTTTTATTAAGACCCTGGGTACTGTATGCAGTGTATATAAAATTTTTTAAAATCTTAATAAAACTTATATATATATTTTTTAATTTTTAATTTTATAATTAATAATAAATCAGAATAAAAATAAAAAAATTTTGTTTTATATATGCTTTAGGTTATTTTTTATTAAGCGAATTAACAGATACTTAACCTTATGAATAATTATCACCACTAGTGATATGAAAGCAATTTTCATACATTACGAACAAAATAACAGCATTATTTTTTATTACGTTTGATAACGTGATAATATATATTAAATCAACAAATTACTCGTTCAATTACTCTAATGCTTTATATAAAATAAATAAGTTTTCTGCATAATAACTTATAATAATAATAAAATAAGAAACAATTAGTAAGTTATTTCTATAATATCTGAAAATTTTATCTTTTTAAATATCTATCATAGAATCATGACGTATTTTTATTATTATGACTATTATGCAAGTTTCTTCAGAAGCATATAAATCCCTATTTAAGGAATACTATAATTATTCTTACATATTTTACATATTACCATTTTTCCGACGACGGATTTCCAAATTAGGATGCCTACGTATTTCGTATCGTTATCATCAACCTATTTAAAAGTAAAGAATAGTTAATACTAGATAATAATATGAAAATGTAATATCATAATAAAAATAATAACTACCGAAAGTTTGTGAAACTCTTTGATGTCTCTTGACACGACTTAGGCGCCATTCGTTTGGTTTTTCGTATTTATTGTATAAAGGCTGAATCTTTTCGCCTCTCTTGCGCTTACTGATCGTATTAGCATCAGCAACCTTAAAGAATGTAGGCGCAGCTTCGGTGAGCCATTTTGGTTCAATTGCTGTAACTTCTCTCATATATTCTTTTGTAGTTAGCACAAGTTCGTGATATATAACCCTGTAAATTGGTAAATAATATTAGATAAATATAAAGATAAGTAATAATAAAATCACAAGCACTTACCATTCAGGACCTTTATTGAACAAAGCACTTGATGGATGAATATATACTGGAGTACCTTCTACTAATGTTTTATAACCTTCTTGAGGATCTTTCTTGGCTGCATGACGGAAGAAACCTCCACAAATAGCTCTACGAACTTTGTCATAATTTCTACCACATGAAATAATATCTTGTTTATAACGGTCCATAATACCCAACAATTGTTTGCGAATATCTTGACATCTTTTCATACTTCTTCCTTGAATAAAATTTTCGAAACACCATGCATTGGAAAATTTACTAGCTTTCCAAGCATTATATACTGTCAGAAGAGTTAAATGATCTCCCTCAGGTTGATGAAATTTTGCTTTCTTTTGATCAGCAGCTGCTTGTTTCTCTTTTGGACGATAAAAAACATTTTGGACAGAAAGCATTGCTACTATGGTAAGAATTTCTTCAGAACAACCAAGATCAACTGAATGTATCAACATCTTCGCTAATGGGGGGTCTAAAGGAAATTCAGCCATTTTACGTCCTAATCTTGTTAAAAGGCCCTCATCATCCAAAGCTGATAGTGCATACAATTGTTCTAATGCTGTAAGAAGAGTTTGAACAGGTGGAGGATCCATAAAGTCAAAATGCAAAAGATCATTTATTCCCATGGCTTTAAGAGTCAATACAGTATTTGCAAGATTTGTACGCTGAATTTCAGGTACAGGATTTGGAAGCATTTCATTACGATAAGCTGCTTCAGTATAAAGTCTATAACATTTTCCAGGTCCTGTACGACCAGCACGACCCGAACGTTGACGTGCCTGCGCTTGAGAAATAGGTGTGACAATCAAAGAATCCATTCCCACTTTGGCATCATAAGCATTCTGCTTTACGAATCCAGGATCCACAACATAATATATACCATCTATCGTGATCGAGGTTTCTGCTATATTTGTTGCAATAACCACTTTTCGACTACCTGGAGGAGCTGGTTCAAAAATACGTGATTGCATTTCACTAGGCAATGCAGAATAAACTGGCAAGATAACTAAATCGGGTACTTGTGGCCCAAGAGCTTTCATACGCTCATATAGAATTTCACATGCTGTATCGATTTCCTCCTGACCAGTTAAGAAAAGCAAGACATCACCCGGTGGTTCAGAAAGGTGGATTTGCATAACGGTAATCAACGCAGCATCCAAATAGTCAGATTCAGGTTCTTTGGTATAAAGAACCTCGACAGGAAATTTACGACCTGGAATACTAAAGATAGGACAATCAAAGAAATACTTTGAAAATTTTTCTGCATTCAATGTTGCAGAGGTAACAATTACTCTAAGCTCCGGACGTCTCTTGAGAGTTTCTATAATAATTAAGTTAATAAATAAAATTGAAAAAAGAATACATATTCATAATATAAAGAAAATGATAATTTACTTTTAAGTAGTCCGAACAGCACATCGGTGTATATCGTTCTTTCGTGCGCCTCATCAAGAATAATTACTGAATATTGTCTTAAATCGGGGTCTAATAAACATTCTCTCAACAACATACCGTCCGTCATGTATTTAATTTTAGTACTAAGGCTAGTACAATCTTCAAAACGAATAGTATATCCAACTTCTTCTCCTAAACGACAACCCACTTCTTCGGCTACGCGTTTTGCAACTGACATAGCAGCAACACGACGAGGTTGTGTGCACCCAATTTTTCCATGATTTGCAAATCCTTCTTCAGCGAGATATTGTGTCATTTGCGTAGTCTTGCCAGACCCGGTATCGCCAACAATAATAAGTTGTTGATGCTATGTAAAAAATTAGGTACATTCTTGTTCAATACAATTATTACAATTCGTTAAAAGATTAACAATAAGCCGAATACATACTTCTGATATGGCCTTAATTAACATATTCCGCATTTGATAAATCGGTAAACTTTGTCTTTGTTCTTGAATAGACAATGAAGTAACCTTACCGAAACTGGTCGCTTTATTAAAGGTTTCTTTTTTCCATTCGGGGACTTCACCAGCTTTACGACCTGCTGCAATTCCCCTTAAGTCTTGTGCAAAATGACGTTCTCCAGGTTCTGGTAAAGGATCTAGCCAAGGAATATTAATATCCTTTGGAACTGAATCTAATTCGGCATTCGCTTGTTGTTGCCTACATATTAGAACATTAGTTTTAATTGATTTTAAAGTATTCAGAGATTTAAATATAAATCATATACCTTAACTCTCGACGTTCTTTGGCTAAAGAAGCCCCTGCTAGAGCAGCACGGTTCAATGTACCATCAGGTGCTTTAACAACCTTAATAGGACTTAGCTGAACTGTGTGTTTGGTTTGTCCTCTCAAAAACGGTGGTTCGTCTTCCATAATTTCAATATCCAATTCTTCTTCTGTTTCCATGTTTTCGATAAATCCTTGTTCCTCATCATAATCAGGCATTTCTGAAGCACGTAGCACACCAGAAGCAACAAGTTGTTTAAGTTCCCAACGTTCTGGTGAAGTTGGACGTTTAAGATTATTGGGACCATCATTGTCTTCAATAACTGGTACTTTTCCAAAGGAGTATGGACGTTCTGGATTATGTAAGGCTTCAGCTTCAAGCTCCTAATTATAATTACTTTTTAATATATATCGTTAATCTTTCATATGCAACTGTTACAAACCTAAATTATTTTCTTACCTCTTCAGTCTTTATACGCAAATGAGGTGACAAATCTTCACCGGTATTTTGATCTACGTCCTTCATAGATAAACTTATTCGCGATGCAGCTACAGACATAACTTTCACTTTAACAGTTTGATTACGGTTGACTACCTCCGACGGATGTGAAATTCTAGATCCAGCTAACAGCATACTTACATGTACCATACCTTGTTCAGGAGAAAGGATATAATTAATAAACAATTTATAAAATCCAACTATTAATAATACGAATGCTTACCTTCTACCCGACCTTTGACACCTTCCAAACTAACAAATGCGCCAAAATCTCTTAAATTAGTTATCCTGCCATTATATATCTTATAAAGCACTGGCTTTTCATCCAGTTCTTCCTTAACGTAACCTTCTCTATCTCTGTCGCGACCTATATATCTATCTCTACTACGGTTTCTTGCTCTATCTAGACTCCGATTTCTTCCATGACCCCTGTCCCTTTCCCTATCTCGTTTAGGACTATGGCTTCTACTACGCCTCCTACGATAAGGTGGACTATTTGATCTGGATCGTCTCCGCTTAGAGGATCGTGAATTACTCCTACTAGAATGTCGTTTATTAGTCTTTGATGTTTTTTTTTCAATGGCTTCCTTCTTTTTAGACCTAAGCATACTTTCTAAGTCTTCCAATTGCACCATAGTATCAATTGCTATCTTAGTGTCTTTTTCATTTTTTTCATGCTAATTTAAAGTATTTACAAATTCATATATAAATCGTAATAAACAAAAATAAAGCCATATTGCATTAAAGAAAAAAATACGGTTTTAATTAAATAAATACGCTACCCAATCTGGATCATCTGGCATGGCTAATCCTGGAAATATTTTTGCTTTTTCATCGGGATCATAGCCAAGATTATTGTCTTCTTCATCACTGCTTACTTCTTTTATTTTCCCTTTTGTCTTATATTTGGGATTCATTTTTTGGATCAGCCGATCCAAAGTATTAATAAAAGATTCTGGAAACTCTGCTCCGGCATCAGTCAAAGCCTTTTTAAACTCTGGTAATGTTCGATGCTGTTCGTGTAAATTAATCACAAATTCGGCTATAAGTTTAGAAAATAAGTTAGTAAATTAGCAACGAATTAGAGAGTATATAGTCATACGAGCTAACCTAAAGTTTTATCATTTATCCCGGTGTGATTAAGCAGTTCGCTTGTAATTTTTGAAACTAAAGAAAGGTATTCGAGTTTTTGAAGTTCATCAAGAGCTTCCATTTTACAATCTGTGATTGATCTGCTTGAATCGTCAAAGATGTTTTGAAAGCGAAATTTTTTAAAAACAAAAAAGTTCAAATAAAAGCAAATTTCTATCCATGTGACAAATTTAAAAAGGATAAATTAATAGCACAAAAAATTTCAACTAGGCCGGCATTACGTTAAAGTAGATGAATTTTTTTAATTTAATTGAAATACTGTATTTATATTTTATAATTCTATTATAAATCTTATATTAAGTATATTTAAAAAAATAATCTTATAACAATTTTTCACCTGAAAGGTGATTTTTTTAATTTTAATAATTTGATATCGATATAGGTTAGCAAGTGATAATATCTGACTATTACGCGAATGATAAATGATTGTTTATATAAAAAAAATTCTAATACACGTTAAAGTCCTATTTTCTAAAGAATATTTTAATCTGTTTATAAGCATATCTATATTTCCAAAGTATTTTTTTCCTAAGTAAAATTTATATCAATTATAATTACCTACACAAAACAGTTACGAAATTTTAAAACTATTAACAAACCCACTTACAATGGAAAATACAAAATTTTTCCTATAATTCTAACCTGCTATTCAACTCTTATTATGATTTTTACATAGTGATTCTGAGTTGATGTTTATCAATCTTCTGATCTACCGACATTTAAATTTAATGATTCTGTGTATAATTCTTATAGCAATTAATAATAATTTTAGAATTTTTTAATAGTAGTTGCAGCAATTTAAAAGATAAAACAGAAAACAGAAAACAGAAGCAACTTTCACATGGATTTTACAATAATTAAAAAATTTTAATAATATTATATCAATAGTCTTGTATTCTAATGCTAATCCAGCCTTAATATTAGCCATAAAAATGAATTATCCAAAAATACATTATTTCCTTTATATTTTTCATATAGATTTAAATCTAAAAAGAAACTTAAAGGAAATTACATGATCAAATTGAACTTTTTGAACTAAATTCTTAGAAACACATAACTCTTTATGTTATAAAACATTTGAAATAAAATGGAATACTCTTGTTAATGAATTTTCAGCTTACAAACAATACCTTACAAAAATCTTATATTTTTGTAAAAGCAATTAGGTCTATTAAACTATATTAATCAGAATTTTATAGCAGGAATTTAAAATACATAATGAGTAGAATCTACTAATAATATAGTTAAAAATAGATTAAATAGATCTTTATATTTACAGATGTTATTAAAGAAGTTCAACAAATTTTTGATCAATAAATCAAAAAAGTAATATTAAGCAAATATAAAATAAAATTATTACTAAATGATTATTATTAATAATAGATAAATACTTTTTAGAATTTGATAAAATTTTACAAAAGTATTTAACATCATAAATTTTTCAAAAATAATAAAATCAAATAGTTTCAATTATTATAGTCAACTCTTGATATAGCGAACTCTTGATATAACAAATTTTTTGAACAAATATAATAAAAATACTTTTGTTATAGTGAATTGGCCAATCAAATCTCTTAACTATAGTCTTATAGCGAAGTTGAGGTCTAAGATATAGAGTTCGTTATAATAAGAGTTGACTATATGCTATAATATGAAATTAATTAAAGATTAATTATTATTACTCATACTTTTTTTTTATAGATAATTTTTATCAATAAGAGATGGCTAGAGAAAATAATTATAATTAAACTTAAACTTTATTTCCTTTATTAATCGAAATTATATCTTATAATAATATTTATCCACTACAAAAAATCCTACATAT